GCCGGGTCCTGGCCGCCTCCCTCGGCCCGGAGTCGCCGCCTCGGGTCGGAAACAGCAGCACATTTGCGGATCTCATTAGGCCAGGCCCTTAATGCCTTCTCCAGATGGAGAGAAGCCACCGACCCGCCCCCGGACACCGGCTCCGCCAAGGCGCCCGCGAGGCGAGGCGAGAGTGGAGGGTGACCTCGGCTTTTCCAGTCTCGGCTCATTCTGATTTCCCTCTGAGTCTCTGCTAAGCTCTGTTGGTCCGCCCTCGCCTACTTTTAGAAGATTGTGCCTGGCCAGCCTGGGGCTTCGCCTTCCGAACCTCCCGCCCTTACCTCAGCTTTGAGAGCTGCGGATCTGGACCCAGAGAGCTACTGGTGTCACCTAGCGGGAGAAGGCCTGCTTTCAGGTCCTAGAATGTCACTCTTGCTGTGTGGCCTCAGGCAGGTCCCTTCCTTCTCTGGACTAGTTTAGTTGGCCTCAGACTCATTTTTGTCTCAAGGAGCAGCAGCTGGCAGGTGCCCTAACCCTTGGCTCTCTGCTGGCTTCCCGTGTCACATGCCAGTAGCCACACCCGGGTGCTGACAAATGGGGTGCTGGGCCACTAGGCTGCCAGGGCAGACATGTCCTGGCTTCTAGAGGGAGGGGCGTAGGGGTGTGACCGTGAGGTACCCCCGGAGGCAGGCTGCGCCCCTCCCAGCCTTGATGGGGACCCATCCTGAGAGTGCAGACTGATCTTTCCAAGAAAATAGTTATTTGGGCTTCGGGGTCACTTCCTCCCTCCCTCCGATGTGTTTCTTAAGTCTTGAGTGCTGGCATCAGGGCCAGAACTGGTTGGAACCCCACTCCTCCCTCTTTTATAGGTTGTGAGTAAGACCCCTTAGGAGTTGGGCTCCATGGCTTCCCGGAAGAGCCCCTGGTGGTTGCTGGTATGGATGGTCTTCACACATTCTGCTCTCCTGCAGGTAACAGAAGGGAAGGGGAATGGTGGGCATCTCTCTGTTTACTTAGGAATATTATTCTAGATCACATAAATGTAACACAATTCCTTAGTGTTAGGTCTATACCAGAGAATTTGACTTTCCTGCTTCTAGCCTATGGTATTTCTGGTGGGTTTAGCTGTAAAGATAATCGCAATACCTTGAGCTGTCTCTAGATCCTGGGCAGGGCCTTGATACCACTGTGAATGGCATGCAGCAGCGATTGCCTGGGGCTGTGATAGACCTTGTTTTGTAAAATAGAGTGGCTGTCTCAATGTATGTATTGGTAGCCTACTGCCAGAAGCCAGGGTGGGAGAAATGGGTAGAGCCAGGTTCTTGTGCTAGCTCAGCCACTGTGTAAGTATTCTTTTGCTTCATCAACACATACCCCTCTGTTTTTTATACGCCTGTCTTGTTCATCCAGTTTAAGAGGACTGAGGCAGCTCCTGCATGGCATTGTTATTGCCTCCTGGGAAGACTCAGACCAAGGAGTGAAGCTCGTGTTGCCTGAGCAGAGAGTAGTGGCAAAATGAGAGGCAAAGTGAGGCAAAATGAGAACACAGGCTGGACCTACCAAGGGCAGTCTCTAGGCCAGGGCTTGGGATGTAGTGCCAGGTGGCTCCTAGCATGTGGGTGGCTTTGAGTTCCATCTCCAGCATCACAAGGTGTGGCCTCTACCCACTTTTAGCTAATCTTTGCTCTAAGTGGGAAAGCAAGCCCAGGATTGATGGTTCTTGCTTTTCAAGATGACTGGATCATCTAGATGGCTTATAAAGTCTTCTAGTTTACAAAGTAATGAAAGCCAGACAAATGTTTGAAGCCCAGATTCAGCCAAGTATGTGGCCCCAGATCTAAAGTTTTGGTTGTCCTGAGGGCGCTGCCGCCTCATGCAGTGTCTTGTGTGAATTAGAACAAGACAGTCCCTTCCTGAAGATGTAACTTCTCAGGCACATGGCTTGTTGGCCTCTACTCCCTCGGGGCCTAGCCCGGGGCCTAGCCCGGGGCCTGGCACTGAAAGGCTGGGCAATAAGGCTGCATGCATGAGGATACGTTATGTTTCACTCTCCTGGACTTGGTGCTTCTTCTGAGGCTTCTTTCAGTGCCACCGCCACTGCCACATGAATTCTGTGACTCACAGAACTGCTTAGAAGGAACAGCTTCTTCCCTGATGTCCCATTTTATTGATGCTTCCCCAGAGTCATATTTTAGTAGTTATCTTTTGTTACAATAAAAGCCATATATTTTTAGGGTGACTTTAGCATTTTCCTGGCAAGGTGGAATGTTGAGATAAAAGCATGTGGACTTATTTTTCTGTCACATCAGAGGATCTGAGACTGACTGCAAGAGTATCGGAAGTTTGTTCCTGGTCAAATGGGGCTGGGCCTTCCATGCACAGTGTGTCATTTTGCTTCCTTTACTCTATAAAATTTAAATGTGCTTTAAGGCAGTCTGTTGATCTTTAGCTAAGGGTAGTGTTTGCCCAGCTTGAATCATTCATGGACCTCTTTCGATTTTTCCATATCTGTATGCCTGTGGCCGTGTGTTTCAGGTCATAAAAGGAGGCTCCAGAGCAGTGGTCTCCATTATCTTTGCTTTCCGTGCTTGAATCCCAGACTCCCCACCTCAGTACTGTGTCACCCAAACATCACCGCTGCCCACCACTGCTTCATATCTGTAGAGAGAGGGAAATACTAATATCTACCTCACAGAATTGTTTGGAGAATCTAATCCATTGTGAAGCAGAAAGAAGTATAAAGAAATACAGTGCCTGGTGCATAGTGAGTGTACCGAAAACGTCAAGTCTGCTGCTTCCGTTGCTGCTGGTTAGCATTATGTTTTGAGCGAGCAGGGTGCCTGTATTTTCGGTATCCAGGTGTAGGGGGCGCTCACGAGGCATCCAGTGAGAAGAGATGCTGCAGAGGCTGGAGGCGGGGCTGTTCCTGCAGGTTTGCGCAGGTGTGGCCAGGGCTTTCTCCTTGGCTTTTCCCCTAAGTTCAGCTGGGGTTTAACATGAAACCACCCTCTGAAGCATCTTGTGAGTTTGGTGTTGGATGGGGCTGCCGGTGTGGGTGTCTCCTTAGCCTCATGAGTGCCACCGCCCAGTAGTTGGGAGAAGACTAATAGATGGTGAGTCTCGAGAGGTCAGGAGTATGGATGTTCCAGCTAATTACTTAAAGTATGATTTTCCTAATTAAATCATTGAATGCCTACACTATATTCACTGGCAGTAATTGATAGCCTGCAGGACAAGGCATGAGACTGCCGGCCCTGGAGAAGTTCACTGTCCCCCTCTCCCAGAGAGCAGGCAAGTCCTCCCTTCTTCCTGTTTCACAGGCCCTGGAAGCTTTTTGCTGCTCCGGCCCTCTCCTTAGGGACTTGATCTTTCCAGGGAAGACAGCAGCTGCTGCTCCAACTCTCTCTTCCAGCCTGATATATTTGAGAGCTTTTCAGATATTCTCCCTACACCTTGAGGATGAATCTCCTGAATTACTACTTGTTCCATTTTGGTCTTGCCTAGAAGAATAAATGGCATTCTTTGTCTACTAAGTGAACAATAGGATAGATTCCTAGCTCTCTGACAAGTTCCTTCTAGAAATGGTTATAATTTTGGTCACGTACATTTGCCATTATCTCTTCAAATAATCATATCAAGGTGGCTTCATGCATACCTGAGTGCCCCCTGCCATGTTTTCCTCTGGAGAGGTGCTACACTGCTTGGTTTCTTGACAGGTTCTGTCACCCACCTCCTATGACTCTGTGTCGTACATTTTCTGGAAGGTGACTCAAACTTTGACTGTCCCCCCTACCAAGTTATAGACATCTATTGGAAGAAGTGTCTCAAGGTGGCAATTTTGAAAGGTGGGAGACATTTGGATGAAGTCATCCTGAAAGGCTATTGGAAGAGTTGTCTTATCAACTCTATAGTGATCTTCTGTGTGGGGAGGAATTTGATAGTGTCAGGCTGTAACCCATATAAGCAGTGTCTCAGTTAGATCAGATCTCATCTACTGGGTCGGATGAGTGCTTATGTGTAAGACAGAATGGTGTCCAGTTTTATTTCTGATTGTGAGTTGGGAGGCTGGCCCAGGAGGCCAACCCTGCAGAGGGCTTGGAGGTAGGGTGGCCCTAGCATGGTTGTGGGTAGATGCCCACATGGCTCTTGTTGGCTTGATTGTTAGAATACAAGTGAAATTGTGGGGCATAGAGGATGGAAGCCTTTGGGATGTGTGGTAGGCAGATTTCTGAAACCCATAAATGTTCCCTTATATGGCAAAAAAGATGTCACAGTTGTGATTGAGGAACTTGGGTTGAGGATATTATCCAGGGCTATACAGTCACAACAGTTCTTATAAGAGGGACATAGAACAAGACAGAGCAAAGGAAATAGAAGATGCTACCTCAGAAACCAGTAACTACCCAGGAATGCTGGCAATCTCTAGAATGGATTCTCCCCTGGAGTCTTCAAAAGTAACTGGCCCTGGTGACAGTCCTCTAAAAACTCTTTTCAGATTTCTGACGTCTAGAACTGTAAGAGAATAGATTGGTTTTAAGATACTAAATTCGTAGGGATTTATTACAGGAGCAAGGGGAAATAAGGGGATCAGGGGTAGACTTTAAACCTTGACTTTCCCCCCACAACCAGCAGGCACTCATAACCTAGGTGCCATCCCAGGCACACAGAACAGACATTCTCATAAGACACGTGCTGCTAGCCTTCAGGTCTTCTTTTCACAACAACCTCCTGCCCAGGCTACAACAATCTTACCATCCAAGTTCTTCCAGTAACTCATGGTGTTACAGACACCCTTTTCAGTCATGCTCAGTGAGGATCCAATTGCAGGGATGCAGCCCTGTATCAGAACCCAGAGATCTTGGTCCATGGTTGAATCAGCACACAGTAGTCCTGACTCTAACATGGCCCATAATTTCCTTTAGGTCACCCTTGATTTGGCTGATCTTCATGAGTTGTAACTTGAATGTCTATGAGTATCGACCCATCTCAGGTGATCTCTGAGGTCTGAACTGTAGAAAGACACAGTTTTAATGAGAAGTCTCAGCTCAGTGGGGGTATGTATAGATATAGAGCCAGTCATTGGTCCAGCCATACCTACCTTGTCTAATTCCCTTTTCCACCTATGGGGTGTCCTACTTCGTTAGGTGCCACGACTCTTTCTTTCAGCTTTTCCTGTGCCCTCTTGGTAGCAGATATAACTTCTTCAGAGAGCTCTGCCAGACCTTCCCTGCAGCAGGTGGTTCAGTGCTGACTTGCCAATTGCTGCTGGGGTCTTCTCACCCCGGTTGGGAAGGCACCCTGATTGGGTGGGAGCTGGTGAAGAGTTTCAAGTCAGCACTTGTTGGCGCTGTCCACTTGATCTGTAGGAAATGCATTTAGCTGGCAGGGTGGGAAGCCAGGATGCTACACTGCTGCCTCCTCTCTGTCTCACCAACCCCTTCCATTCTCTTTTCCTTACTCTGGCAGGCTCAGGGACAGCTCAGCAGATCCACAGACTAAGCAGCTGCCCATCCAGAAAACGGAATGCTGGCTTCACTTTGCAGGCACCCAATCTCTTTTTCCTCATTTTCATTTCTAATGTGTTCCACTGTACTTGTGGATATAGCATGATGCCATAATATTTCAGACACATTTTTGTTGGACATTTGGGTTGGCTTGTTGACTTGTATTTATTGGTAGCCACCTGTGATGAACATCGTATAATTACGTCTTTGCACACGTTTGCTTCCCTAGAGCAATTCTTCTTGATGAAATGTGCTTTCTTCTCATCACTCTGTTTCAGTTCTGAGTAGTTTTCCCAGCTCTCCAGGTTTTATGTCATGCATGTACTTCCTGTGTGACTTTGTCCTCTAAGATGATTGTGGGTGAATACTCCAATCTATGTTGGCCCTAGTGATGGAGTCTGAGCACAGACCTAAGTGGATTCAGACTCCACTTTAGTTCTGTGCTGCACCTGAAGCCTGGAAATCTG